TGAGGGGGAGGGAAGGGAGGGCAGCGGCGAGGCGAGGCAAGGCTTGTACTCCCAGATAGAAGAGGACGGCGGGTCTGAGCGGGTCGGTGGGGCTGGGTGGAGAAACGGCCGCCTTCAGGCCCGTTAGGAAGGCCGTGTCTCTGTTTAGTATCAGTAGGGGGGGCACGGGGCACATGACGATGTGTAGGGGTGAGGTTATCTCTTTCACTTCCTGCGGATTCAGTCCGAAGCAGTACCGTGGAAAGCAACGAGACCCCGTCTGACGAGAATACAGGGACCGTGACCTGGCCTTCCAAGTTGCCACACCTTAAAAACAAGAGCAAATGCGCGTCCGTTGCGTTGTTCAGCAATGCTCGGAGGGCCCATATGCGTACATTGTCCGTGTCGGCGTCGACCTGTGCAAAGACGTCTTCGCCTCCGCCTTCATCCACGCCCCGGTCTTGTCCTTCCTCTTGCATGTCGGTCTGAAGCTCTCTCAGGACGACTGCCTTCAGGCTCTCGATTGCCTCCGGTGCCGCTCCCCCCTGCCGCGCAATGCCTCTCCCCTCGGCTAGCACGCGATACGATAACAGCCGTACGCTTTCCGGAGCCGCAGCATCAAGGCCGCTGGAAAGCAAGGTCCGGAGCATCGACCGTGGCAAAAAACTGGCGGAAGGAAGGGGAGCAGTGGCGGTAGGGCGGGCATCGGTAGCGCGGAGGAGAAGTTGCTGTAGCGCAGACTCGAGGGCCGCTATGTCGCTGCCTTTGCTGCCCTTCTGTCCTCCGAAATTGAAAGGTGCCTTTGCCGCTTTCATTCCCTGCGTTGTGTGCGTAATCGACACGGAAGTCGCATCTTAAGAGTGCTTTTTGCGTGTGTCACATTGGCCTTGGAGACTCGCCTTTCTCAGCGACGTTGTAGTACTACTAGTAGGAAACGTCAATGGGGCGAGGCAGGAGGTAAATCGAAAATGATCCGTTCACGAGTTTGAAAGGACGAACCCTCGGGAACGTGGCGCAGTCTTGCTGCCAATACCGCATTGTACAGTTCATCTAATGTTTCCCGGGGGCGCAAAGTAATTGCGGCCCGCCCGCTGGGTTTTTGGGTTGCGAAAGACTCGCCACCGCCGGCTCGCTTTTTTCATGAAGAAGGAGAGAGCTGTCATTTCGAATAGTAAAGCCGACGGACGGGAATTTGGGAACATCACGGCTTAAATGCGTGTGTGGCAGATTTTTTTGCGTGCAGCGACACTTCTGAAGTGGACGGCGTGATTCTAGAGCGCTCGTTGGTCGATGTCTCCGTACTCTCTGCCCCCAGTAATAAAAAGAACCGAGGGCCCATCTCAAGCATAGGACGCAGAGAATAAAACGCTTTCTCGTATCGTATCGAATTCTTGTCTGCCCTGATTCGCGCCTCCTCGTTTCAAACACTTCTCATCATTACTGTGTCCCAGTCTAGGCGGTTGAAGATGCACAGAAGGAGGGCGGCAAGGGCCGCGGCGCTTGTCCTTTGTCTCCTGGCAGTCATATGCGACCTCCCGGGAGCCTGGGGCAAGGAGGGGAAGAACCGTCCCATGGTGCGTCTTCAATGGCGTGGATGCCGAGCATCACAGGCCCTGCGATGCTTGGCCGTGGCCGGCTGGATACAGACTTCTCACGAAAGTCATGTCCCTCCGATCTATCTCATTTCTGTACACGGCTTCAGTTCTATGATGGCGGGGCTTGGCACGATTTGGATGAGGATCCACGCCCGGGGGAGCCCCTACCGTAAGTCTGCACAGATTTGGCGGCCTCGCCCCCCCCCAAGGCACTCACGTTTCGCGTGGCCCTTCACAGGTACCCCCCAGACTCGGACTCGTGGCAGCGACCTGACACCACGGTCCATGTGCAGATCTCCTCCTTCCGGGATCATCGGTGTCCAAAGTAAGTGAGAAGGCTTGTCAGCGGTGACGCGGGACTGACTAGAGGAGGAAAAGAGTGTTGGCGAGTCATTCCTCCTTTTCAGTGCGTGGGCTCTTCGAGCGCCCCGCAGGATAGAGGGGGAGGAAGGCGCGACCGTGATGAGGGGAAGG